GCTGCCCATGCCCTGGCTGGTCATCAGGCTGCGCCATCTACTCTGCACTTGTCAGTCCTGCCCCCTTCCCCCTTTTCTCTATACCTGCTCTCCCCTCTCCTGTTTTCCTTCCCCCTACCTCTGACCTTCACTTTGCGCAACCTACTGTACACAGAGTGGCAGTCCCGCCCTGTCCCCTCTCAATCTTCTCTCTTTTTACCCTTTCTCCCTTCCCTGCTTTCCATAAGCCCTTCTTTTTCTGCTGCCCATGTCTTGTTCCTTCCCTCCCCTTCCCTCCCTTTCCCTTCTCTTCTTCCTTGATTCTCTCCCCTCTTCTCTCTTCCTTCTCTCTTTTCTATCTTTTTTCTTTCTCTTTCCTCTGCCCTCTCTCTCCCCCTCTCTCTCTCTCTCTCGCTCTCTCTCTCTCTCTCCCTCTCTCTCTCTCTCTGTATCTCTCCCTTCTCTTTGTTCCATATTGTGTCCTCACGCTAGTAGATGGCACCGTTCCTAAAATAAGAGCAAAAAAACAGCTAATTTCACATAATAGATGGCACCGCCCTATCTTTGGACCATACCCCTGTGCCAAGTCACTTTTTGTTCTTGGGGGTGTATACCATGCCTATCGCTCCTGATTTGTTGACATTTTTTGCGCCATCTGGTTTGACAATAGTGTAATTAATAAACAATGGGGCCGCCTTTTGGATTCTTCCAGCAAGAAGCCCAATGTATGCGCCCCGTTGTGGTGAAGCTGCAGGAAACATGGATTTTGTAATACATGTCTATTATGGCTGTAAATAGCTGAAAACATCAAGGAAAAAGGAGGAAGGAAAGGTAGGTGCAGGTGGTAACATGTGGTAGCATGTGTTTTCCATGTGTGCATTGAACATGTCTTTGTCGCACAAGGTATGAAACCTACATGTGTCAATGCCAAGCACCCTCAGAATAGTGTACAGTAAAACAATAGTCACAAACCCCTTTTTCCTTGACATGTGAATGTAATATGACTGCGGCAATCAAATGGAGCTTGAACATGTGGACTTGGCTGCACCTCAGGCAGGTGCCATCTACTTTTTCCTGTCTGACCCCCGAAAAAAAGTGCAGCAGAACGAGGAAAAGTAGATGGCATCTCGACGTCGATTTTTGGACCACTCACCGCCATGTACTCTCAACCTAGAGTATATATAAAGGCGATGTTATGGAAGGCTCTTCTCTTCAAGCTTCTGCTTAAAGAGCACCAAGCAAAAGCTGAGGTATGATGATTGTTAGCGCTCGAAATAACTTTGATGGCACTAGTGGCTTTGAGCTGGTGAACAGAGAGATCGCATTCTATGGATTTGGTGCAGTTGCAAGGGCGGTGCACAAGCTAGCGCAAGGCGCGCTTGATGTTTTTATGTTTGCAAGGATAACCACTAGGATTTGAGCAATCTTGCTTCGAGGGCGTCCGACTGTGAATATGTATATCTATATATATATGTTAGCTTTGAATTGATGCCACTACTGTGCTAACTACCGGTCAAGAACCTCATTTTATCCAAACGAGTGAAGCTCAAAATTTAGAACATAGAGTCCTCCGCTCCTTGCGAATGATGTTTTGGGTCTTAGAACCGCTCAAGAAACCAAGCTCAGACGTATTTACCTATGGTGAAACGTCAGGAGGACACTGTGGATGAAAACAAGATGAACACAATTGAATTTGGAGCCACAGGACATATGTGCCAAAGTTAGTGATTCCAGAATCACTTATAGCTTCAGGTGCTTGTTTATTGTTTGTTGTTTTTTGTTTTTTGTTGGTTGTTGGTTTGTTGTTGTTGGTTGTCGGTTGTCGGTTGTCGTTGTTCGTTGTTCGTTTGTTGGTTTGTTGGTTTGTTGGTTTGTTGGTTTGTTTGGTTGGTTGGTTGGTTGGTTGTTTGCTTGGTTGGTTGGTTGGTTGGTTTGTTCGTTGCTTTGGTAGTAGTAGTAGTAGTAGTAGTAGTAGTAGTAGTAGTAGTAGTAGTAGTAGTAGTGGTAGTGGTAGTGGTAGTGGTAGTGGTAGTGGTAGTGGTAGTGGTAGTGGTGGTAGTGGTAGTCGTAGTAGTCGTAGTAGTCGTAGTAGTAGTAGTAGTGGTAGTAGTGGTAGTAGTGGTAGTGGTAGTGGTAGTGGTTGTAGTAGTTGTAGTGGTAGTAGTAGTTGTAGTAGTAGTAGTAGTTGTTGTTGTTGTTGTCGTCGTTTGTGTTTGTGTTTGTGCGATTGTGTGTGTGATTGTGATGGTATGTGTTTGTTGTCAGTTATTACATTTTGTGTTGTCATTATGTGTGTCAATGTTTGTAGTCTACTGTTGTGTCAAGCCATTGGCGGGACACTGGTGGGATCCCTGCTGACGGTACACTTGTGTGGGACGCCTGGGTCCGGCCATCACTGTCTTTGTCATTGTTCGTTGTCTACTTTTGTGCGTCCTTGGAATCATAGGCTGTCTTTTAGACGTGTAGTTATTAATTCGCAGGGGTGCACGGCTTGTCATACGTACGGTACGCACGAAGCTACGGTACAACGAAGCTATGGTAGGACGAGGGGTGGACTGATCATGTACCTGCAAGTTCTGACTTTGAATTCTCTTGGGCGTCACTGGCCTTTGCATCGGCTTGAGCTCGGTTTGAGCTCGACAGACCTCTTGGGAAGTTCAGGACTTTTGGCAGCTTGGAGCCCTTGGGCTTTGGGTTCTTCACGGTCGTGCGCCGCTGTATGTTTACTTGGACGTGAACCTGTCGATTTAGGCCTTTTAGTTACTTAGGCATCTTCAGGGCCTGTGGCATTCTGTCCGTATGCACTCTATCTTAAGTCTGTGATTGGACTGGCCAGGCACTGGGTGTTGCTCTGCAGCAGCATGGGTCACGATAGGGTGGGTTGTGCCTCTCTAAAATCTAGCAGCTACCCCAATATCCCCTATCCTGTCGTGTGGGGAACAATCACACAAACCGATGTCGTATAGCTATCACCACCCCGCAACGCCCCAAGTCCATGGCTGGGGCTGGGACAACGGCAAAAGCATCTCACACACGAGAAAAAACACGTCACAAGGAGACCAGATTACCTCCCGCATCGCCCCGTCTAAAGCTTGGGTCACTACGCTCACAAAAAACACAGTGCACAAAGACATCAGGTTGGAGAATCTTTGCTTGTATATAGGTTTCAGAAGACCTGCGAAGCCTGTCCGAACAGACTTTAACATAGTCTTGCGCAATTTGACTCAGACCCAGTAGCCTGACCTAACAAGTGTCGCACAGCTAGGCAGCATGGACAGAGTAGAACTGATAAGGCGCCAACATGTTTACACATTTACATTTAGAACTGCGTGCCCCCCGCATTTTCCGAGCACACTTAGGTCACATTATTTTCCATGTGTGGTTTTCACACCTTTTAACCATGCCCTGGAAGAGATTTGCTTTGAAAGAGACCAGTTTCTACATGTACACTTGCAGCAAAATCTGCTTTGACAAACTTATGTAGCGCCCTTTTTCTGCAAACAAGGACTCTCCGAGTATTAAGAGTCCGTCAGAAAAGTAGAATATTGTTTTCTCAGGTAGAACGTTTTTTGGAATGGCCTGACCTGCAGGTTTTGGAATGAAGAGTTTTGCGTACGACCCTTACATCCCCGCAGACCAGATTCAGGCTGGCAAGATGTCCAAATGAGATGTACACACTGTACGTCCGAAAGCAGACATGGATGAAACGATGGCTGCCAATTGGCCTGGGCGTACAGGTTTGGTGGTTCATTCTGTTGGGGGTACTTGTCACAAAGGGAACAAAGTCGGATTCAGAAACTGCACTGTATTCAGAAACTACCCTATAGATCAAGTTAGACTATTAAGATCAACAGATCTTATTTACTATTTTCTAACTAATCTCCAGGATGAGAATAGGATGTTTCAATCATGCCTATAACCTAACCTACACATAACCTAACCTGCAGATAACCTACAGATAGCCTAACCTCGGAAAAGGTTTTGTCCTATTTTGTTGGCTAACTACAAACAACCTACAGAGAACCTGAAAATTTGAGGCTATTTGTCATTCTATTTTTGTTGTATTGTTGTAATGAAAGTTTGCCAATGTAAATATTGGTGAAGATAGCTGCAGCCAATGAAAGGGTATTGCTGAATATAGTTGAATGTGTTGCAGCCAAAATATTGGTGATTCTGAGGGCTGGATATTTAGTATTTGTGAAGGACGCCTAGATCCTGGCTTGATGGCAAGAGCTTGCTTGTTTCCACTATATTCTCCAACTCTGCAGCTGCAGCTGTTCTATTTTCTTGAAAAGCTATGCCCATCCAGAGAATATCTCCTGACCCATCCCTCAGTGTGAGGGATCTGGCTGGGCCTGTGAGGGAGTTCATGAAAGAAAAGAAGAACTTTGATCTTTTCACAGTGGTGAAGCCCAAAGACTCCAAGACCAGCTGGAAAACAGCTCCTGACATTGGATGGATGGCATCTTTGTCAAGGCTGTTTTTGAAGATGGCAGCTGTAAGCCCAACCTTGTGCCTGGCCAGTTCCAAATTGAAGCTGGCGCTTGAAAAGCTTGATGAAGAGCTAGGCATCAACAAGACAAAGATGTTTGAAGGAGACTTTGCAGACAAAGTTGATACTTGGTTGCGCATTTGTGCATCACACTTCAGGTCAGCAAAAAAGAAATATACAGTGGTTATGAAAGAAGCTGGTGACAAGGAGAAGGAACTGGTGGACGCAGTCCTTGCCTTGATGGATGATGGAGGGGAGCCATCATCTTCAGCAGGAAGTGCAGCAAATCCTCCACCTACTTCAGTTCCAGCTGCTCACAGCTTGGCATTGGTGCCATGGGCACCCACCACCAAGACAGAACATGGTGAAGGCCAGAACATGTTCAAACAGATTTTGGAAAAGAAAGACAGTCAGCCTGCAACACCCTCACCATTGCAGGCAAGAAAAGTGAGCGCAAAGGTTCACTGATAGAGTGTCTACACAAGTGACCTTTGATTTTGGTGGTTCCATCTTGGACCATTTCTTGAAACAACAGCCAGAAGACCCAGTGCTGGCAACACCATTGAAAAAGACTGGTCCAGGCAAGAAGCGAAAGATAGAATCAGTGCCCAAGAAGACCATGAAGGCACCTACCAAGAAGGCCATGAAGGCACCTTCACCCAAGAAGGCCATGAAGGCAATGAAGAAGGCCATGAAACAAAAGCCTCTAGCTCAGAGCAGTGGGTTCATCATGATGTTCTACAAGCATGGCCCTGCATATGCTGTTCGAAAGAAAAAGGGGAAGCAATTGTTTCAAATTACTACTTTGCACAAGAGCCCTTCAAAAGTAAGGCAGACTTGCCAAATGGCAATGGACAAGTTAGACAATGGGGAGAGCCCCAGTAAAGTGAAGACATGGGCTAAGGCCCAATGGGGCTGAGTTTGGGCAGATGTGGAGCTGTGCAGAAAAATGTTTGCTTGCCCATTATTTGTTGCCATTGGACCATCAATGTTTGGCAAGCTATTGGGGGCATTTCTGAAAGTGGTAGTAATGGATGGGGAAGACATGCCCCTGGCAATGAAAGGTATTGGAGAGTTTGTAACATTGTATTGGGGAAAGGACTCTGAACCGATTTGTAAGGAGATATTGCATCGAAAGACATTTCAATATTGGCAAGAATGTTACTGTAGAAAGAACATTGAGCAATTATATAGATCTGGAAATGAGAAGTTTGTGCAATCATCAAGCCTTTGCACCAGCAATGTTATTTGATGGGCTTCCTATATTGGCAGCACTTGTGGCTCCTTCTGCACATCATTGGTACTTTACAAATTGGACAATGTTAAATTTAACACACACACACAAAACAAGTGCAAAGATTCAAGAACACATGTCTCCCAAACAAAAGGTTTAAACAGGCTGCCTCTTTAGAACTTACTACAAGGGGATTTTTCAATCTCCAGCCACTCCTCTCTGCAGCCATGGAAGAAGAGTGCAGAGTTTTTTGTCAGGGATCCCTTTCTTGATGAATGAATGCTGGCTGAGAAATGTCCTGACAACCAATGATATCAAGCAGCCCTGGAAAGTTTGCATCCTCAGGAAAGGTGAGCACCCAAGGATTGGCAGTGGGCCAATTGCTTCCTCTTCTACAAAGACCAGTCAGAGGCACAAAATGTTGCTCTGGCTCTTCATGGTTTGAAGTTGCCTGGGTGGTGGAAAGCCTTTGAAGCCAAGCTGGCCAAACCAGATCCTTGGAGGCCAGGTAGTTGGTTTGTTTGGTTGGTAACCTCAAGGCTGGGAGACCCACAACCTACAAAAGTCACTTGGGCACCCTTTTGTAGCAGAGTATCAAGCCTGCAAGGCGATGGGGGAATCATGATGGTGGTTGGCACTCTTCTTGGTGGCAGTGGCATCATGACAGTGGTGAAGCTGCTGGTGGCCAAGTTCCTCAAGCTGAAGCTGCTGGTGGTCAAGCTCCTCAACCTGAAGCTGCAATTCCAAAGATATTGGTTCCAGAGATGTTGATCCAGATGCTTGGCTGGGGCTTTGTGGTGTTGATCTGATGGCACATGTTGGGTAAGTTTGGGTAAGTATTTGTGCTTGGTATATATTTGGAACTGTTAAGGCTTGCTCTGAAATGATATATGTTCACATGAAATGGAAGGGTGATATGCAACTCAGCATGTGTAGCAGCTCAAGATGTAGCAGGAAAGGGGCTGAATTTGAATTCTTTGTTGGAATGCGACTTGGTCAGGAATGCCACCAAACCTGGCATTGCAGCCACTACAGCTGACAAAGCAACGCAAACCCCTTTTATCAAAGAGTTGGAAGAATTGCAGACTTTGCAGAGGCACTGTGGTTTGTCTTAAAATGGATGGAATTGCATTGAATGAACTTTCATGGGCCTGGGCAAGTAAACCAAGCAACCCACATCTACTCTCTTAAGGATTGGTTCTCTGGCTAGCAACCCTTCATTTGCATGTATATGTGGGAAAGTAAAGTGCGCAAAGAATGTGCCAAACAAAGATGCTTTTTGGTGTATGCTTTGCACTTATACACCGCTTTATATATGTTCATTTGATTGTTTTCTTTTAGCTGGATCCTGGTTTCCATGGTTCAATTGTTTTCTTTTAGTGGGTCCTGGTTCCCAGGACCCACTTGTTTCCTCCAGTTTTCTTTTAGCTGGATCCTGGTTTCCATGATTCAGTTGTTTTCTTTTAGTGGGTCCTGGTTTCCAGGACCCACTTGTTTTCTCCAGTTTTCTTTTAGCTGGATCCTGGTTTCCATGATTCAGTTGTTTTCTTTTAGTGGGTCCTGGTTTCCAGGACCCACTTGTTTTCTCCAGGAAGCTCAAAAGACCTGGCGACTTCTCTGAAGGCAATGATAAAGCCAGGAGGAGCCTGATTCATGTACACTCACAAGTAACAAGCCATTGTGATATTGCCAGGGTCTTCATGAAATACACTGGATGCACAGTTCTGCCAGCATGGTGACTGCAGGACTAGTGCCCCTAGTCAGCCAGACCAAGCAGTTCTCCAACCCATGGAAACAAGGACAAACATTCTAGCTCTTTGCAAGGCAGCTGTGGGGGTATGTTTGACAAGTGAGCTGTGACTGCAGGAACCAAGATGCTGCTGGTGGACCACCTTGGACACTTTTCACTGCCTATTGGAAAGGGAACTGTTGGGTGATTATTGGTGAATAGTTACATTGCAAGGGCAGCTATTGGCAAAGGCATTGCAGAATAACTTTCTATTTTGCAAAAGCATGCATTTGCGCAGTACTGCTTATGGTGCTTGGTGACTGTGTGCAGTTCATGGGTCATTCTTGCAACCAATTTGTTGCCAGTGTCTTTTCAGGAAGACCAACACACCTGAGCTATCTGAACAGCCAGTGCATCCTGAAGGGGCACCAAGGACAGCAACCGCAATGCAACTGATTGGCCATAAGCTCTTTTGCATGTTTGAAAGGAGCTATGCCCCTGGTGACTACTTGAAGGGGCTTCTTAGTTGCAAAGCTGAGAACACACAGAACATGACATGGCAAACACACACTCTTTGGTGGACACATTCTGTTGAATGCTGAAAACGCTTTCCAATCTGTTTTGCAAGTGTTCAGCAAAGTGTATGCCAAACCCAAGGTGCAACAGTAAGCCTGCGCAATGAGATCTCTGCCAGACACAAAGCTATTGGGAAAAATATTGCTGTGCGCAGTAAGGGTCTGCATTTCAATTTATTGCTGATATGAGTTATTGGTGGAATGATTTAGTGGGAAAGAGAATTCTGGTTCTAATATGAATTATTGGTGGAATGCTTTTTTGGGAAAGAGTATGGCTGCGCAGTAAGGGTCTGCATTTCCAATTATTGGTGAAGTGTGTATTCTGGCTTTGGTATGAACCATTGGTGGAGTGATTCATTGGGCTTTGGAAAGAAATCCTGTTCTACAAAAGCTATACTTGCTGTCTCCAAATCATATGTGATTTGCATCATTTACAGCATTGATGAACAGCAGTTTATGCAGCAGTTTGGCCAAACTACTGAGCAGTTTTGAAAACTACTGAGCAGTTTAGCAAACTGCTGAGCAGTTTGCCAAACTGCTCAGTAGTTTTGTAAAACTGCTGTCCAAACTGCTGAACATGCTGTTCAAGACTAACTCATTTTGCACAAACTTTTGC